ACACGCACGCACGCACGCACGCACGCACACACACACACGCACACACACACACACACACACGCGCACACACACACACACGTGCTAGCACACACACACGCGCGAACACGCACACTCGCACGAACGCACACACACACACGCGCACACACACACACGCAACACCTACGCGCACACGCACGCGCGCACGCACGCACGCACGCGCGCACACGCGCACGCACACATACGCACACACGCACGCGCGCACACACGCGCACCCGCACCCGCACGCACGCACGCACGCACACACGCACGCGCGCACACGCGCACGCGCGCACGCACACGCGCGCGCGCGCACACGTGCACGCGCGCGCACGCGCACACGCACACGCGCGCGCGCATGCACGCGCGCACGCGCACACACACACGCGCACGCGCACACGCGCACGCACGCACGCACGCACACATGCGCACGCACGCACGCACGCACACGCGCACGCGCGCACGCGCGCACACGCGCACACAGGCACGCACGCACAGAGCTCTTCGGCGAGATCAGCTTAAAGGAATTCGGGCGGAAGGTCGAGCTGGTTGGCCGACTCGGCAAGAAGAGATGATGTGATGACTGGATGTCGAGTTCTGGAAGACTCTGAGAGATTTGAGAATTCGTTTTGGGAATGAGTATTTCCAGATAGCTCCTTGGAGAGCTAAGAGGGTTCCAGGAAAGAAGCCAGCAGACAGGGCCGCGCCAGCTCCTGTCCAAGACTGCCGGTCAGGCATCCTCGCAGCGCCCTGCTTGAGATTGCAATTTGTCCCGCGAAGCGTGTTCCGACGCGTTCTCAATGCGCGTGCCGATCTGAGCAGGTCGTTAAACTGCTGAGACGTGAGCAGGTCGTTAAAACGCTCCGACGAGAGCATATCGTTCACTGCTGCCATCTGGGCAAATCGTAAACGTGTTCCGACCTGAGAAAGTCGTGAACTACTCCGACCTGCGCAGGTTGTTGACCGCTCCGACCTGAGCGGGTCGTTAAAGTGCTCGGACATGAAGAAGTCGTAAAACTGCTCCGACCTGAACAGGACGTAAAAGTGCTCAACGTTCGACCGCATGCTGTGGGGGTCTGGTGTAGGTCGTCCAACCGTTGCTGGTGGAGCTCGTCGGTCTGGCACGGGAAGCTTCTCCGAGGGTCGCCCTCGTGGGCAGGCGACTGTCCGTGGCCTTCACCTCCCTCTTTGGATGCTTTCCCGCTGGGTCGCTGGGTACGTGCTCGCTTGCCGGGGGAACGGCGCCCGCGGGGTGGCCCAGGGGCACGTTGCTGGGCGCAAGGTGTGCCGCCGCCTGCGCCCTGCCGAGCGCGATGAACTCGGAGGGGATACAAGGCCTGTTCGGGATGCCCGCGAACGCCTCGCGGTTCCTTTCCTCGGTCGCACAGGCAAGAATTTGTCAGTGGTAATTACCTATGCGCTTCCACTTGCCACAGCTGTCGGGGGAGCACCCCTCCTTGTGGGGCAGGAAGTAACCTAACCGCGTCTCCTCCTCTTCCCGCTTCGGCAATGTCGACGCAATGCGGGGGCAAGCCTCTGCTGTCGGCCCCAGGCGGACTCCGGCTCGTCGTGGCTGAGCCTGTGAGCCCCAGGATTCGCGCGCAGTTGGTCTCCCTGGGCTCCTTGCCCAACTCCCAGGGGCAGGCAGGTTCCTCGTCGTGCTTCCTGCGCGGGGGGCCATGAAGATCTGCTTGTTCTTGTCCTTCAATGCAGATATCCTCCTGGTCATACTACGTGTTGGTGCGTTTGCCGTCCGAAGTCACCATGATGGCGCTTTGCGCGTCGCCCCAGCGGTCCCCGAACAGGCCGCTCGCCGCCCGGAGGGCCTGCGTCCCCAGTTCCATGCAAGCCTTGGCGGTGACGGTCGTGTCTATGTAAGCTACTTCCACTCGCCGACGCTGGTGGAAGGGTAGCCCTCTTCGCGGACCAAGAGGTAGTCCTGCGGCGTCTCCTCCCCCAGCCTCTGCGGTGGTGGGAATGGATGGAGACACATCTCCTCCATCAGCCTCTGGGCGCAACCGGGCTCATTGCTGATGCGCTTCGTGGGGCAAGGGATCTGTTCGTAGCTGGTCGCCCAAGGCTCGCTCGCTCAGCCGAGGAACACCATCGGGTCCTTCGTCGTGTCCACGGTCGGGAGCGATGCTGAGGGTCCGCTGCGCGGTGCGGATCTCTCCGCTGGCCTTGCCACCCAAGCTGGGCCCCCCCGCGGTCCACGGCTGCTCCTCGGGCATGGTGCCGCACTCCGTTCCTCCGTTTTTGGGGTCCACTCGGCTAGCGCGGGTCTTCGTCTGGGTGTGGCCGCCACCCCTGCTGTCGTCCGTCAGCTTCCCGGTCGACCCGGGCGTTGGCGGCCTGCGGCCGCGAGGGTGTCCTGGAGCTAGCGGCCCCCAGTGCTCCCTCGCCGACGTCGGTGTTGCCGTCGGTGCTGACGTCGGCGATGCGGCAGGCGCCGTCGTCATCGCCATCGTCGAGACCAGTGCGGGTCCCGTCGACAGCACTGTGGCCCGCGCCGTCGGCGACATTGGCGTTGGTGCTGGCATCTGTGCTGGCGTCGGTGTCGCAGTCTGTGCTGGCGTCGGTGCTGTAGTCGGCGCCGTCGTCGGCGCCGTATCCACAGCTGCAGTGGGCGTCGTCGTCGGTGCAGCAGCCGTATCAAGCCTCAACCCCGTCGTCAGAAGCGTCGCAGCCGTCGTCGGTGAGGCAGTCGGCGCTGGCGTCGTTTCGGTGCCGTCGTAGAAACCGTAAGGGGCGCCGTCAGCGTTGTTGCATGCTGCGCCGCCAGTGCCGCGGCCAAAGTGGTCGTCGGCGTTGCCGCGAGCGTCAGCGCGGGCGATGGAGGTCGTGCTGGCGTCGGTGCTGACATTGGCACTGGAGCCGTCGTCGGCTCTGCAGCCCCCGCCTTTCGTGCGAAGGTCGGGACTGCGACGAAGCAGCGGACGCCGTCGTCGGCGCTGCGGTCAACGCCGTCGGTGCCGCGGTCGGGGTGATCCGTGGTACTGCAGTGGGCGTCGGAGTGGGTGTCCAAGTTCGTGCTGGCGACGAAGCTGGCATTGGCCCTGGGGCGGTCGTCGGCGCGGCTGCCAACGTCCACAGCGTGGCAACCAATCATGTATACACCCCCTCCCCCACCTGACCGGCGGCAAACTCGGAAACATGACGACCCCTCCTTGTCGAAAAACAAGAGAACGTGCACTGTGCGGCAATTTTGATCGCGCGAGGGCACCAATCGATCACTTCTTCAGGACAAAGACGAGGAGGGTCGCATCTTGCCTGCTGCAGGCAGAGATGATGGGTGTGCCATGGCGCGCGCGGCGCACCTCGAGGGCATCGCGCACCTGGCTGGTGTCTGTCTGCATGGGTTCCCGATAGTTGTCGATGGCGGCCTCAGTCAATGCTGAGACTCGGGTGGGAAGGCGGGTGGGAATAAGCGAGTGTCCAACCTCAAATGGCCGCGGAACCTCTCAGGGACGTCCCCAAGAAGCCCAAATTCCCCCAACACCTTTGGAAGCAATTATTTTCAGCCTTCGCCTCTTTGTTTCCGATGGGATTTGCAAACATCAAGGTGGCTCCAACAGGCCTCATGAGGGCCCCAAGAGATGCTCAAATGGGTCCCAACGGCGCCCAAGACGACCCGAGACACGGCTTTGCGGCTCAAGAGCGGCAGAAATGCTTGTTCGCAACACCAGCCCGCAAGCGTGAATTACGAAGCCCTTCCCGACAATTGTATGCCAATCCCGCTGGACATGGTCGCAGAGAAAGACACCGCTTGGCGGACGCACTCCCCGAGAACAACGAGTAACGATTAACTTGAAACGGTTCGGAAAAGATTATGCGAGACGTTACGCGGCTCTCGAACAGTATGTCTGATGTACGTAATGATATGAATTCGTGTGCCTCCACCTGAGCCTGGATGGCTCTGGCGAACGGTTTTCTGGATACGAATGCTTCGAGAAGAGCGTTGCGGATGAAAATCGTTCTCCGGTAACGTACTGAACGAGGCTACCAGAAGGCGAACCGATATTCCCAAATGCCGAACGGACAACTTTTGCTCGCGACTTCAGGCCCTGTGCCTGATATAATCACAATATGCAGGTATGTACACTATATTAAGAATACGATGGTACCATTTATTTAGCTTCTCCGAGTCATGCATCAAGGCTGGCGGACTCTCTCGTGCGTGCAAATATGTTCGATTAGGACCGAATGCGAGGGCTATCCACCGGCTGCCGAAAGTTGCAAGTGTAATGATTCACTGGATGCGGAAGAACATTTCAGCTTCTACGACACAGTTCACGCAATTGCCCTCTTGCAATCATGCCAATCTTATGCTCCATAAAATGTCATGTGGTGTGTCGCAAGGACCTGCCCTGCCGTTGCAGCCCAAGCTGCCGCTGCTCTTGCTGTGCGTGCTCTTGCTGGCTGCTCCTCTGGCCCAGGGTGCCTTCGCAGGGCGCTGCATGAAGGTGGGTCAGCGTGACGAAGTCCACCTGGCTGGCTCTGGCCGCCCCCAGCTCCCCGCGGAGAGACATCTCGCAGATATCCTACCTGTACAGGCGGCGCCTATCAAAGTCGATGGGGTCGTACTGACATGGCAACGGCCGTCGCAGCTGTGGCACGAGTGCCTTCGGGCTTCGGCGTCCCCTCCGCAGACGTGGCCCTCGCCACTATCCTCAAGGAGCGTGGCGGCGAAGGCCAGGACTCTCCAACCACTGGCACGGCAGCTGAAACTTCGGCCATGTGGCCTGTCCGCGGTGGCCCGTGCGGAGACCTGCAGGCGCTGCGAACAACATGCTTGTTCATTATTATTTTCCTGCCCCACGTCCATCGGCACCGTGTCTGGGACGGAGGAACAGCTTCGATGACGTGGTCGAGAGCTGCGGGTGCACACGTGCTGAAGTAGCCACGACGTCGGAGGTCTGGACTACTGATTGGGCACATCGGAGCGGACTATTCAAGGAGGGGCCCTCGTTGCCGACACCTGGAGGGACCTTCCGCGGTAGGGTTAAACATGAAAAGCTGAATGGCCATCTGGGCCCAGATCTCTTGCCCAACCTGCATCTTTTTGCTGAACGTCGCTCAATACTCCCTCGTCGCCCCAATCCGTTGCCCCGTCGCTTTCCCCCCCCGTCCGTCTCCATCCTCCAAACTTCTTCTCCCTTTCCCCAGCCTCTCTGTATTTCACTCCCCCTGACTCCTGCTCATTGTCGCCAACGGTCTCGCTCCAGATCTCCGACGTCATGATCTTAAAGTTGTGCGGAGCTTCGGTGCTCTCGACCGCATCTTTCGCATGGGTTCGAGCGGTGCATTGAATTTTCCCAATACCACTGTGAACTATCATTTGTGTCTAAGAATGCAAGGCCCTCTCACGCTCTCGTATACTCTGTGTTAGCGTAATGCAAACGTGCCGCTGCTGTATTTGACTCTCTGTCTACCCGCATGGGGGCCCCTGTGAGCACTGCTACTGTGCGACCGCCTCGCATGATCGATCAAAGAGCGCGAGGCCTTCACCTCATCAGTCAGTGGCGCTGTGTGGCGGGGGCGCTTGTCACAACGGTGCTGCTGCGGGAGAGTATATTGCAGATTGGTGTGTGCGGAGCGGCGGTCCACGGCACCGCTACCATTGCGTTGCTCAAGACAACACTGACGATCGTCTCTCTGGCTTTCACCGCCCTCGTCATGCCGCCGACGCTGTCCTTCGAGCAGGGAATCCCAGTGCACGATGGCACGCTGGAGTTGCTGACAGAGTACCTAGACAGGATCGACACGCCGCGTGTCGGCACGGCGGAGGACGTGGTCAAGAAGACGGGGCCGCTAGGCCCGAGGCTCTACAATGCTCTGAGAGGCGAAGCGTATACTGCGGTCAAGGCCGCGAACATCGACAAGGTGGACCTGGACACGGACTCAGGGATAGAGGCAATCGTGATGGCGCTGAAGGCGGCCATCCAAGGGATCCGCCCGAATCGTGTGGGCGAGCTCTCCGACAGGTACTTCGACAGTTCGAGCCGACGCAGTGTGGAGGCAGTTGGTTCTTGGCTGACGAAGCGAAGTGAGATTTGACAGCGGTTGTTGGGCACCGACAGGATGACGCAGTTGAGTGACAATATCGAGGCCTATTTCCTGTTGAAGCTGAGTGGTTTGACCAAGGCTCAGCGATCCAGATTGCTTGCGAGTTGCGGCAATGTCTACGACCCGAAGAAGCTGACGGAGGCCATTCGAGTGCAGTTCGCAAACCTACACAAGGCGGAAGGACGTCCGCGACACGGACACGATCGCCGAGAAGGAAAGCACGAGAGAAGGTACGCCTACCTCGCCAAGAGACATGTTGAAGATGAAGCAGAGCCAGATCCAGACGACGAATACGGAGACGACGGTGACTACGGCGACGGCATGACGGATATCGAGGACGAGTTGAATGAGCTACAGGAGGGAGGGAGTCGAAGCGGTTGACGAAGCTGCAGAAGAGCAGCTGGCGGCGCTCAGCGAGTGCCTCGTTGCGGAGCAGACTGCGTATATCGCCCGGAGGGACCTGCGTGAGCTGAAAGATCACGCTCGAAGGTCCAGTCGTCCAGGGAAGTTGATGAACAGCAAGCAGGAAACGGCGGAAGATAGGAAGTAGCGGATCGAGGAGTCAAAGAAGTAGGCCCGATGCGGAGTAGGTGGAGCACTCGGTCACTGGGCAGGAGATCCTGGTTGCGTCGAGTCAGACCGTTCGCTACCGCCGCGTGAAGGCCGAGGTCGATTCCAGCCACGTGGTGGCAAGGGCGGTGGCGGAAAAAATAAAGGACGAGGTGGCGGAAAGACTCAGATGAGCTTCTTCGCCGTCAGGGACGACGCGGACGATGACGCCGAGCAGGCGTGTTCCGTGGCCAGCGTGGAGCAGGACAAGGACAAGGACAATGACAAGAAGCTCTCCATGCCGCTGGAACACTACTGGATGGTGGACGAGCCGCCTGGGCAGAGCGTGCTTGGTCCGCTACCGGCGTCATCAGCGGCAGCGGCGGCAGTGCCAGTATCCCCGACACCGAGCCCGACGAGGAACTACATGGACGGCAAGGGCATGGCCAACGTCGAGGCGCCGTGGGAGAGCAGTGGGCGCCAGTCAGGCACAGAGGTCCTGAAGAGGTGCGGCAAGCCCTGCAGTGTAGCGGATTGCGCGTGTGAGAGTTTCGGTGCATGTGTCGGCCGAGAGGGCCACGCTCGGAGCTGTCGGTGCTGCCCCGATGCGACAGCCGCGGCAGCGTCCAGTGGAGCGAGCGGCAGTGGGTCGCAAGCAAGCAGAGCGTGGATTGCAAGTGAAGGAGGAACGACTACCCACATACGAGCCGGACGGGTGTGCATTTCGGTCCAAGGCGACCGCCGAGCGCCATTGACTCCAAAGGCAAGTGCACTGGGGACGCCGAAGACGGGTGGCAAGTGTGACGTGGCAGAAGGTGAGATCAGGCTGTGGCTCATCAAGCAGAAGTGGCCGCCTGACGACCCCAGACGATGCCGACGATGCCCCGATGGCGGGATGGTCCAAGGTTACAGGAACCTGTATGCCATCGTGTGGATGTGTGACTGCGGCGCGCGAAAAGCGGAGAGGTACTTTCCGACGAGCAAGAAGTATCATCACGGACAGATCGAGAGGTATTTCAGTGGAGTCCAGGGAGCAGGAGTTCGAGGAGTTCGCGGCCGTGGCTGGTGTCATTGACGACCAGAGTGACTGTGACGACGACGAGATCGCTCGTTTGGACACGATGTGTACGAGTACCATGCACGGCGACGAGTGGCTGGAGCGGTGCTCGGCGAAGCTGAACGAGAAGTATGGGTTGTGCATTGAGTCTCACCCATCCAAAGTGAAGTACCAGTTTGGCGGAGGAGAACGCAAGGAGGCGAAGTTCAGAGATGTACTACCGATCGGCATCGGTGGAGAGAATGGCGAGATCAGTTCGAATCCAGTCCCAGGGTCACCCACGAAGATGCTGCTGTCGATCAAGACGCAGAAGGCGTTGGACATGGTCATCGACCTCGTCGAAGGGACGGCGGACTTCAGGAAGCTCGGCCTCGGTGGAGTGAAGCTGCGGAGGACGAGTAAGGGGTGCTGGGGCGTGAAGATCACTGACTTTGCCAACTTGGGTTTTGACCAGCCGGAGCGGTTGGAGAAGGAGACCGTCACGGTACTGAGTTCGGACGTTGTGGTTTATGAGGCCGTGGAGGACGTCGAGAGGAAGGTATCAGTTGGCAATCTGCCCATCCACGAGGTGCCTCGACGGACCGCGACGGCAGGCAAGGGCAAGAGCATCCGACGGGAGCAAACGGAGATGTTCGGTGACGAGGAGAGTGCCTGGGCGGCTGTACGTGGTGACCGGCGAGGACGATGGCCCAAGGAACGTGTGATCAGGGAGACCTGGAGTTGTCTCAGGCCTGGCCAGACCCTCGTCAAGGACCTGTTCTGTTGAAAGATGGGAGCCCCGTGGTACGCCGCCTCGGTCATGGATAAGCCCGTGTCTCAGCCGGACGACATCCTGGACGGTTTCGACTACTTCGACCCGTCGAACCAGAAGCGGGTGTTCGAGCAATTGGACCGTGACGACCCGTGGTTGACGATCGTCCCGTGGCCGTGTGGACCGTGGGGCGGTTGGTCCCGCTTCCAGATCGCTCGTGGAAGTTCACTTGCAGCGCGAATGGATGAGAAGCCGGAGAAAGCGAGGCCGTTGTTGGAGTTCAGTGCGAGGGTCGCCAAACACCGCTTGGAGCGTGGGAGGCTTGCTTTGATGGAGAACCCCTGGGCGAGCGACGCCTGGGAGGGCCCCGCGCTGGAGGAAGTGCTGATGGACCCGGAGATGGACTTCGTCCAGGGAGATATGTGCCAATGGGACCTCAGGGGCACCGAGAGCGGACGGCCCTACCTGAAGCCAGGTGGGTTTGCGGTGAATAAGGGCGCGCTCGCGGACAGGCTCATGCGAAGGCGCGATGCGCGACAACGACACGACATGATTGAGGGGCACAATGCAAACGGAGGTCGGAGTGAGCAAGCAGGACGGTGCCCGTTGGAGCTGGTAGAGGACGTCTTGCTGGGCGCGTGCGAGGAGCTACTCGAAAGGCACTGCGAGCAGCTCGCATTTCCCGCGGAGGTCCAGGAGCTCCACGACGAGGTCCGCAGGAGGCCAATGCGTGGGGGCTCCGCCAGTGTCGACGCGGCCCACGAGTACACCGACGAGTCTGGAGATACATCCTCGTGACTCACAATGCGTGGATGGACACCAACTTCGACCCGAGGAGTCTCTTCCATGAGACGCAGTTGCGACTGACAAGAGATCGCGAGACTGTGGGCATCGACGATAACGGACAGAGCACCCACGAGCAGGATGACTGGACGATCAACCCTGCTCCGCCCATGTCGCGCTGGCACGGCAAAACCACTTTGCGCTGTGCACCGAACGAGTCTGGCGAGGACGAGCGGCCAACAACTACCCTTCCAAGGGGGTCTACCCCGCCAGACGTCGGC